CCTCACCCAACCCTCGCCCAGTCTGCGCTCCCTGCGCCGGGGGATGCCGGCGCACTGCGGCGTGCCTCGACAGGTCGCCCTTCCGCCGCGTGGCAGCGCTCGCCCTCTTGTGCTGGTGGAGCCGCCGTCCCCCAGCGCTCCATGAGTCGGGGGCGAACTCCGAACCCTATCCTCGCCGATCAACGATGCATCGGGAACTGGAGCGTTTACTTTACCAGCAGCGGGCTGCTTTTCAACGGTAAGCTTATCTTCAGCAAGAGTCACGCAGCAGGGAGAGCCGCCCTGGCTCAGGCCGGGCCAGGTGTGCGCTCCCTGGTCGAGCTTCGGCACGATGGTGGGGACTCGTGCTCGCGCGGGCGGAGCAGAGGGGGGGCCTTGCTGAGATGCCAGGCGCGAGTGCCGAGGGCGGCGTGCTGGCTCCTTCTCGCCTCGTGCTCTGCGATTTGCCGTCTGGTGCGCTGCACCAGGCCCTCTCGTTCCTCGATGGCGTCGGGCTCGGCCGGTGGGAGACGACCTGCGCGCCACTGGGTGGCCTCGTCGCCGAGGACCTGTGGCGCGGCATCGTGCTCCGCTGCTGGGGCTGGCTGCTGCGCCAGAAGCCGCCCTCGTCGAGCTGGAAGGCGCTCTGCGTGCGGCTGCACACGGGCGCGAGCAGCTGCTTCTGCGTCGTGGGAGCGGGCCCCCGGGCCGGCGCCAGCTGCGCACACGGCCTCTGGCCCCCCGCCGGCGCGGCCGGGCCTGGGGCGCGCGGCCGCTGGGTGCGACTGCCCGCGCCGGCCGAGACCCGGGAGATGGCGGGCGTGGTGCGCAGCGCCGCGGGCAGCGTGGTGGTCGTGGGGGGCACGAGCCCGCGCGTCGACGAGCGGGGCCGGCTGGGCTTCAGGACGCTCGCGAGCGCGGAGAGCTGCACGGACGGCGTGTGGTCGCCGCTCGCGGCGATGAGGGAGCCGCGCTGCTGCTGCTCCGCCGCGCTCGACGCCCGCGGTGGCGTCTTCGTCGTCGGCGGCGGGACCAGCATGTACCGCGGCGCGGCGTGCTTTCGCACCGTTGAGTACCTTCCTTCCCTGGATGGCGTCTGGCAGGAGGCGCCGGCGATGGTCAGCATGCGCTGTGCCGTCGGCGTCGCCATAAGCCACGAGACGAGCCGACTCTTCGCCTTCGGCGGCTACAGCGGCGTGACATACCTCGAGACGTGCGAGGCGCTCGAGCTGCACGGGTCCGCGAGTGCACGCTGGACACTGCTGCCGCCCATGACGTGCAAGCGTGCCGGCTGCAACGCGGCGTGCGGCCCCGACGGCCGCGTGTACGTTTGGCGGCGCGCACAGGGGGGTATGGGGAGGGGGGAAGGCTTCTTAGAAGCACCCCTGCTTCTTAGAAGGCGCGGGCCTTGTCCACAAATGCAAGGCCGGCGTCTTCTAAGAAGCGGCCTCCTGCTAAGAGGCCTCCCCCCCCCCTACCCCCCTCTGCGCGCCGCCACGACGTGGTCGGCGGCGGGCCCGACGGCAAGGGGGAGTGGGACACCATGGAGGTGCTGGACGTGCGCACCAGCGCGTGGCAGCTCTCCCGCTCGAGGCTCCGGTGGGGGCGCCACTACAACGCGGCGGCGTTTGGGCCCGACGGCCTGCTCTACGTGTCGGGCGCGTTCCGGCACACGGGCCAGCTGGACGTGGTCGAGCGGTACGACCCACGCATCGACAGGTGGGAGGAGCTCTCGCCGATTGGGACCGTGGTGAATTTCTCAGCGGGCACCTTCGTGTTCTGACCTCTGGACTTCCCGGGTGTCCTCCTCTCGTGCATTGTTTCGCCTCATTGTCCTCCTTTTCCCAGTGGCAGTTGTTTGCGGCAGGCTCAAAGGTTTCACAGTTAGTTGCCTGGTCGAGATGCAGTGCTGCAAAGAGTGTTCTGGCTTCTTGTCCTGATAGTGCGTGTGCGACTATTGGTTGGCGATCTCTCTATCTCTCTCTGTCTCTCCCTCAGACCATCCCGCCACCGTGCCTAAAGTGTGGGTATGAAGCCAATTGGATGTTCGTTGGGATCTCGTGGGAGGCCTCTCGGGGGCCTCTTGGAGGCAGTTTGGGCGCCTCTTGGGGGCCGTTGTAGGGCGGCCTCTTGGGGCCTCTTTTGGGCCCCTTGGGCGCCTCTTGTGGCCTCTTGGGCGCCTCCTGGGGACCTCGTGGGGCCTCCTGTGCGTTTCTTGGGTCCTCCTCATGCCCGGTTATTCAGTCTGGCGCGTCGTACCTCCACCAAGAAGCCCCGTCCTTTTTGCCCCGTCCTCCCCCGTCGCTGTCGACGGCGGGCCAAGCATCAAAGGCCCAAGGCGACGCCTGACCCGGCGAATCGAGCGGGATTGTGCGTGAGAGCGGGTGAGAGTCCGGATGGAAGGTGTGGCGCAAACGCGCCTACCACCTGCAGATGTGTTGGAGCTCTTCTTGCCTCCAGGCCCACCCCCCCCAAGCCCAACCGGGATGCCCAAACGCGCCCTGAACGGCCCGAAAATTTCGATCCACGGTCTCTCCGACGACGATTTTTGTCAGACGATCTCCGACGATCTCCAACGACGACGACGACGAAAGGTACATCAGCTCTGCGCCACGTCGCAGCCTGACCCCCCCCATTTTCGGATGCAACCCCTGGCAGGTCGAAGTCTGATTTTGCCCAAGTCCGAAGTCCGGTTTTGTCCGGCCTGATCCGGCTTACTCCCGCTTGATCCACTTGGATCCAGCTTGATCCCGCTTGATCCGAGACCCACTCCAGCGCAACAGCCCCACAGTCGGGCTTAATCCTCTTTGGCCCTTCGGACGAAGACCTCCCAGCAGTTGCCTCGTAACCCCCTCCCCGCCCGGGCGCGCCGCCCCCCGCGGCCGAGGCGTGGAGGAGGGCAGCCCCTGGGCGCAGAGGGGCCACGGCCCCGCGCTGCGGAGGCCCGCGGCCGTGCCTGCCCCCCCCAGCGCCCCCTTTCCTCCCTGCCATCCTCCCTCCTCCTCCTCCTCCTCCTCCTCCTCCTCCTCCTCCTTCTCCTCTTCTTTTTCCTCCTCCCCTTTTTCCTCCTCCTATTTTTCCTCCTCCTCCTTCTCCTCTTCCTCCTCTTCTCCCGTCCTCCTCCTCCTCCTCCTCCTCCGCCCTCCTCCTCCTCCTCTTCGTCCTCCTCCTCCTCCTCCACCTCCTCCTCCTCCTCCTCCTCCTCCTCCTCTTCGACTTATTACAAAGACGTTCGCAATGCATTCCCTAGCCAAAAACATTCCGCCCTGGATTACATGGTCTCTGAGATTGCTAACGATTTGGACCGGCAGCTCCTGCGACAACGTCATCGCCGTGCGTGCATGCATGCCGAAGCCCACGATGGTGCACTGGACATTTGCCCTGGCTCTGGCGCTTTACCTGGCGATACGATTGCGGCTGACGAGTTCATCGAATTGCATCACCCTGCCATTGACAGCTCGATTGCCCACACACCAACGCCTTCACGGTGATGCTCTCGTGGTCTGGGAACCGGTCTGCCAGCAGTACGTTGATCTCGCCACTACAACGTACGCCGACGTCCTCGCACAGAAAACTGTGTTCGATACCCTCCCGATGTTGGTGGACGAAACGGAACTCCGCAATGAAGCCCTTGACCTGGTCTTGCAGACCAACGGCGTCGAGCAGAACCGGGACAAAGAAGAGCGTGTGGTATTTTGGAGTGGCCGTGGTGCTCATAGTGTTCTTCGCGACTGCTATCATGGACGCACCGCCCTACCTGGTAAAGTTGCTCCTCAAGCCAAGTATCTTGGAGGTAAGTCGCACTACACTGGTTCGACCCGTCCTGAACGTCTCCGTCGCGTACAAGCTGCTCGTGAAGCCTGGAATGCATTTCAAGGATACTGGTCGTCACCCGTGTCGTTCCGCTCGAGTCGTACAGTTTTTCGCGGCCAAGTCGTGGAGACTCTCTGGTCTGGCATGGACGCTTATGTGCTATCAAAGCCTGATTTTCACGATTTCGACACCCTCATTCTCAATTTGGCCCGCAAGCTTATGCGAGGAAAAGCGTGCACGAAGGTGGAGCAAGCTGACGGCACCATCAAGTACAAGGCATTGCCAAATCAAGATGTTTGGCGAGCGCTTCGATTCGCTGATACCAAGACGGAGCTTCGAATACGACGTCTTAAATTCTGGAAGCGGGTGCTTTCGGATCCTTCGGATCACGTCTCCTATATTGCTGCCTTGTTTTCGCCTTTGGGTTGCGAGTCCAAGAGCCCGTTGGGAGACGATGGGCGACCTCGTGCGAATGCTCATCCTTGGTTCCAGCAGTTCATGGACGATCTGGACAGCTTACGTGACCATGATAGCACAGCTTTCATTGCTGAGGAATGTGATCGGCGACCTTTCCGATTGTTTCAAGAGCCTCTGCGTGTCGTTCAGCAGCGTGCGTGTTGCTCGCCGACATGTTGCTCGAGCAGTGCAGGTATCCAAGTGTAGTGGGTATCGCAACGTTTCGCCGATCGATTCCGCAGTACCCGTCGACCTGTCGTGTCCCTGTTGCGAGTTCGAAGCCAAGTCATTGGACGAGTACCACAGGCATTGTACCAATCACCTTGCTGGGCCTTTCATTGACGTTCCTGACTGATGATTCGCAAGGTTGCCTAGCTGCGATTACTCTTCATGTCCATCCTCATCATTGGTATCATACCGACGCCGCCGGCGCCGCCATTACGACACCGACGCCGCCGTTGCGACACCGACGCCGCCGCGCCGCCGCCGTTACGACACTGACACCGCCGACGCCGCCGTTACGACACCGCCGCCGCCGTTCACGATACCGACGCCGCCGTTACGACGCCGCCGCCGTTACGACACCGACGCTGCCGTTACGACGATCTCGTCCTTTTTGTCCGGGAGTGCGATCGTGGCATCGTTTCTGCAGGTGCGAGGTGGGTCAAACTCGCGCCTTTCTTGGTATGCTGTCCATTCTCCGACATCCCCGTGCCGGGATGGACTCCTGGCAGCTCGGCGCCGCTGGCGAGGGAGCCCCTGCCGTGGGCGCAAAGCGTCGCGCCGTGGCAGTGGGGGGCAATCCGCACTTGAAGAACAGCGAGAAGCTCTTGCTACTCGTTGCGAAGCTTGGCTTGAAGAACGCCCAGGACATGCGCGCAGTTCAAGCCACTCTGTTCAAGACGATCATGCTCAAGCGCGACAACGTGGTCGCAGAAGCTGCCTTGAAGGCCTTGAAGGCTCACACCGACAGCGCCAAAGAGATGCAGCCTGAGCACCCTCCAGCTGTGTACATGTGGGCAGCTATCACCCGTGCGGCGGCCACCGTCGAGGGCCTCGAAGAGGCCCACAACAACGCGATCATCAACCACCGCCAGCAGGTGACGGACCCGGGGCAGCTGAAGGACATCATATACCACGCGAAGACGGCCAGGACGCTCGACAATAATAAGGTCAAGCTTCATCTCGCTGCGCACGCTTCCGTGGAGCCTGTGGTCAAAGGCAACTTGCGGGCTGGTCAACTCTCCGGTGGCCGCCAGATGCACGGGCAGGCGCCGAAAGGGGGCCTCGAGAGGGACATCCAGCGCTTGTTCGAGCAGCTGGGAGCGATGGTAGCCGACGACGAGTGAATCCTGGAAGGGGCAGTACGTGAGTTGCGTGCTTCGCCAGTCGGTCCCTGGGTCTTCTCGCTGTGCGCCGTGCCGCCTTTCAAGTTCTACGATACTTACTTTTTCAAGGCGGGGCACCTGTGAGAGGGCCGTCGGGGGCCCTCCCGTTCACTCGGTGGGGAGGGGCAGCTCGCATTGCCGCGAGGTGAACGGCGGGGGCAGAGCTCTGCTTAGGATCCAAGTCGATATTGTAATCGTGATGCGGGCATTGGGAGGTCCTTCAGGCAGTCGGTAACCGTAACCTCCTCCTCCTCCTCCTCCTCCTCTTCCTCCCTCCTCCGCTTCTCCCTCCTCCTCCTCCTCCTCCTCCTCGTCGTCTTCCTCTTCCCTCCTCCTCCTCCTCTCTCCTCCTCCTCCTCTCCTCCCTCCTCCCCTCCTCCCCCTTCCTCTCTCCCTCGCTCCTCCTCCTCCTTTTTTCCCCACTCTTCCTCCTCCCTCCTCCGTCCTTGTCCTCCTCCTCCTCCTCCTCCTCCTCCTCCTCGTCCTCCTCCGTTTCCTCCTCCTCCCCCTCCTCCTCCTCCTCCTCCTCGTCCTCCTCCTCCTCCTCCCAGTCAGGCAATCTGGGTTCGGAACGTCCTTTCTGGTAGCCCTGAGTCCAGCACAGCACCTCGACGTGGTGTTTGAGTGGCACTTTGCGCCAGCGATTGATGAACAATTCGCCAGTGCAGTGGTTAAGGCGTGCGAGTACTCATGCCCGCTCATCTCAGCAAATGGAGCACGCGTCAGAAGTGCAAAGCGTGGGACTGCAATGAGAACATATCGCCGCTCGCCAAGGCCGATGTAGCAAATGTTGCGCCTCGGTCGAGATGCACAAGACCAATGGCAAGGGCGACAAGGGATATCATAAAGACAAGTGGCGCCAGGACGGCAGTGTTCTGCAGCAGTCGGGCATCTCGCCAGCTGGAGGTGGAGGAGGCAAGGAGATGCGGTTGAAGTGGCGCCTCATAATCTCCTTCGCGGCGGGAGTGGCGCCTCAGCAGGTCGCCGCCGCTGCCGCACAGGCGCAGGCAGCCCCGACAGTCTCAGCGAAAGAGTTGTTCAAGCGCGCGTGGGGTGCGTGGCGAGATGCTAGCCTGAAGCACGAGCAGGCTGCATCCATGGTATTGAAGTGTTGGGAGGACCATGTCAAAGCAGAGGAGCGCGAGCAGAGTGCAGCTGTCGCCCTTGCAGAAGCCGAGCAGGTTCGCAAGGCAGCGGCGAAGGCCTTGTCGCAGCAGGTGTCGGGCACAGTGGAATGCGAGCCCCCGGCCAACGAGTCCAAGAGGGCCAACGGCGCAGTCTACGACCTGCAATGGGACGAGACACTGTTCGCCGAGATCACCGGCTTCGAAGGGGTCGAGCATGGCGAGAAGGACGAGCTGATCACTATCGCGGAGAAGTTGAAGGGCCACGAGTCGAAGTTCGCGGGGCGGGGCACGGTGATCAAGGAACGCCTGAAGAAGGCGCGGTAGTTCCATAACCAGGTCGCCGACAGGCTCGCCAAAGAACCCGAGAAGCTGGCCGAAGGCCAAGCAACAGCAGCAACTCCACAGCAGACTTCGGCAGCGGCGCAGGCCTCGCCAGCAGGCCATGCCGCGGCCAGCGCCGCGAACCCCGCGGCCCAAGTGGCCGAGGCGGCTGCGCCAACCGTTCCTGCCGCAGGTGCCAAGGCCACGGCCGAGGCCTCGTCGGCGCGCGAGTTCGCTGAGATGCAGGCGCAGCTCGCCGAGGCCGAGGCGCGGGGAGCAGCGGCAGGAGCAGGCGCCAAGGCCAGCGGGGCCGTGGGCGCGGCCACGGCGCGAGACTCCAGGATGGGGGCCAGAGGCTACCGCGACCTCGACGAGCTGTGCATCTATGCCCCGCAGGGATGGGCATTGTTTTTAGTGCCCCAGTCGCTTTGCAGTTGGATGAGCTCATATCAGAAGGGGTCCACATGCCCCACTTCTAGGCCTGGCTGTTCGGCTGCGACCACGGCGACGACATCGCGGCCCTGTGGCTCGGGGGGGGGGGGGGGGCGCAGGTTTCGCCCCCGTTTCGGTCGGCGGACGCCGACAGCTGCAGGATCCGGGCGCGAGCACCTCCGCCGCCCGCGCAAAAAATGCAGGTTTCGCCCCCGTTTCGGCGTCGCCGACAGCTGCAGGATCGCGGGCGCGCACCTCCGCGCAGGCCGCGCGGGCAGGGGCGTCAGCTACAGCGCCCGGAGCGGGCGAGCTGGCGCATGGCTGCGCTGGCGCGGGGGAGGCGCGCTCTTTGGTCTTCGCCGACGTCATTGCCGTGGTTGACGCGGCGTGGAACTACCCGGCAGCACATCGGCACGTTCGTCAAATTGTTGTTTTTCTTTTGCGGAGACCCGCGTTCGCAGCGACGCTCTTGCGAAGTGTCGCGGTGAGCCTCGTGAGTTGGGCATGGGGCTCGTCGCGAACCTTGCCGGGCCAACGGGCAACGCAGCGGCGGGCTCGTTGCGAGCGCACCATGCCAACGGGGGGGGGGCGGGAGGGGGGGCGGGGGGGGGGGCGGGGGTCTGTCGACGGCAGGTCATCGGGGCGCACGCCCGCTAGCAGAGGGGCTGCAAGCAGGCTCGCAGGCGAAGCCACGCACTGCCTGCGACGGTGTTGTAGCATCGCCCGCCCGCTTTCACGGCTTCAGAATTGTCCCGATTATCTCTCGCGGCTTCCTAGGCGTTGACTTGTTGGAGGCCAATTAGAGCAGGCATCCTCGCTACTGGCCCTTCGTCAGTTCGCTTCGCCCCCCATCTCTGATCGCGGGGGACTTGCGCGTGCCGGGGCATGCGTTGGCGAGGCCAGATTTCTTGCGCAGTGTAGGTGGAGCAGTCGTCGCAGGCTCCGTCGCCACCAGCTGCAGCGCCAGCGCGGCAGGACCAATCAGCGGTTATGTTGCTGCGGGTGAAAGTTGTTTCCCCTGCGTTGTCGCGCTGGGACCTGAGCACGAGGTGCCCTAAGACCCATGTAGGCCTTGAGCTGGCCCTCGGTGCCCCAGGCGATCGGATGTTGCGCAGGGCAGTGGAGGTCCCCGCAAACCTCCCGCGAGGTTGCGGGCCTGGCTCGCCCCCCGCCCCTGGGCCCAACGCGCCCATGGCCGAGGGGCGAGCGCAACTAGCTAAGCGCGAAACCAGACAGCGTAATATTGAACTACATGAAGCTCTGTTCCAGGAAGCAAGCCTTGAAGCAAGCCGAGCCAGCGTCCAAGAGTCGGCGCCCGCGGCGTCAGGGGCCGCTTCAGTTTCGCGGGCAGGAGGTTTAAAGCCAGGCCCCGACGACATTTTAAAGCCTGAGGAGGATTGAGAGGACCTGTGGGCTGATGAATAATGCTTTCAGCCTGAGGTGCCTGAGGGCCCCGCGGCCCCCATCCCTGCCCCTTCGCCCCCCCCCCCCCCCCTCGGGCCTCCTGGCCTCGCATCAAACATAGCGCCGATAGCATCCGCGATCGTCCACCCCCGGCGCGAGGGCAGAGTTTAATCGCCGCGCCCGAAGCCGCGGCTGGTCAGGGGCGCGACCCAGAGTTTCATTCCGAGGGGTACTTGGATTTGGCATCGTCAGCAGATCGGGGGTTGCAAGCAAACCCTCGGCGATGTGCGGCAGCCCGTCCGTCAGTCCGTAGCTTTCCCGGCTGGTGGTTCAAACGCGATAGGGGCATCATCGCCATTCGCTTGCTGGGCAACGGCAGTGAAGAAAACCATCTTGTGCCACCGCAGTGGCCAGAGCGACGACAGGGGCATTTAGTCCCGCGGCCGCGCAGCAGGCCCAGCACTATCACTCAGGCACGCGCAATTTAGTCCCGCGGCCGCGGTGCAGGCCCAGCACTATCATTATGATGATATGCGTGGCCTCCTCCAGCTGGGAAAATGATAACTCCCCACAACATCTCCCAGGGAGTCTCAAAACAGTTGTTTCCCACGTTTCCGACGCAGCCCCAAAACAGTTTAAAAAAATATCAAAAACAATGCTCGCTCGTATCAATTCGATAATGCGGAAAACATAATAGTTCTAACGTTTTGCTGGGTCTGCCTCGGGTCCGCAGCGCATCGTCCCCCAAGAACCTCAGCGCGCGCTGAGTGCGATGTGTAGTTTGGCGGGGTTCAGTCCCTTTCCCCACAGGTGCGATGCGAGGTTCCGTATGGTTCAACCTAGGCCCTTTCAGGCCCCCCCCCCCGTGCCCTTTGGGCAGGACACGCGCCGACTCGACGTCCGCCTTGCTCTGTTTTGAATAGGGGGTTGGGTAATGAGCGAGGGGGGAGACAAAATATGGTCGGGGGCTGGGCGGGGGTGAGCGGGGGGGGGGCACATGACACATGACAGAAAGGAAGGGCTGTGATGAGCGGGTGCAAGCGCCCCTTGCCCCCCCCCCCTTGCCAAGGGATTCAGGACGCCCCCCCCCCCCCCCCCCCCCCGTCGCCAACGGCAGCAGCGCCGCCGCCATCGTCATCGCCACGCGCTGCCGTTTTGGATCGCACATGTCTCGGCAAGGCTTTGGCACTTCGTGTTATTTTTTTGCGGCAAGACCGCGATGGAGGACGGCTGGGGCGATGTGCTCGCCGAGGTCGCGGGTGAGCCTCACCCGCCGCCCCGCGGCCCCGCGGGCGCCGCGGCCAGAGGGCCGCGCCCCCCGCCCCGCAGGCCCAGTCGGGCAGCCGCGAGGTCGGTCGCGGCGGCGGGCCGCACCAACGCCCTGGCCCTGCCCCTGTCGGAGTCAGTGAGGCTGCCCACCGTGCCGAGACACATCGTCCAATGCACGGGCAGAGGCTCGACAGATCAGTGGCCGCTGCTCCCGTATGTTCGCGCGGCAGCGCTCACGATCGAGCGCCAGAGAGTATCAGACCAAGACGTGCCAGCCAAGCTCAACCGCATGTTGATGGATTCGTCGTCCGAGCTGGCTGGCCGAACCACGTCAAAGGCATCGATCCAGGATTCGATCGGCGTGACCCCTGGGAGCTACACAGAGTACGTGATCGTCTTGGCCAACACCATCGTACATTTCGAGCGGGACCAGAAGCTTGCGCTGGAGTGCTATTTGGCAAATACGGTCCCCAAGGAGAACTTGCTCCACTACGTCGAGGCGGTCAAGTACGACGAGACCCCGATGAAGCTGTCAGTGAACGATTCGTTCCAAGCACGTGGTCGTGGTGCAGTGGGCTCTTCCGATCAGCAGCAGCAGCAGGTGGCCGTGTACCACATGGATCGATCTCGACAGTGGGGGAAGCCGAAGTTAGAGAGAACTGCCATCAAGCTGCTGCAGAGCTCGTCGAGGTTCGGGTACCTTCTGAGGACCAACGCGGGCGAGTACGTCTGCATCGTCGGCGCGCCCATTGCTCCGCTCCAGTGGCTGGATCGGAACGCTGGGGAGTGTCTTCGAGAGGCGGACCAACGTCGCACCACAGCTGTTGGACGGGCTGCTAAGGACTTTGCGTGCAAGACGCGCGTGTCAGTCCTGGACGGCGCTGGCCCGAACGCCCGCTGCGAGGCGCAGGTCGGGGTTGACCGACGAGGCGACGGCTGGGGCAAGATTGGTTTCACATGCTCCATACATTGCCTCGCGAACGTATTCACGCACACCTTCGACCTGACGGGCTCCGACGTGTCTGGCCAGATCAATTTTGCACTTGCCGTCAACGAGGGCTCGGGCTTCTCTTCTTTCTGTCGGATATTCCGTGCTGTGGTTCAACAGCGGATTCGCATCCGCAGGGGGGGGCCCCCACCAGAGGCCACCCCGTACAAGCGGCACTTGCTGTGAATTTCGCTCGCACGGGGGAGTCGACTCATCGAGAAGAAGACAGCTTTGCACCATTTGCCGAACGGGGACTGGAGGGACCGAGAGCACGTCGACATATGGATTCCCGAGGGCATCGACATAGACGAGAGCGAGATCAAGAAGTCGGTGTCGGAGGCTTTGGAGGTCTTCCTCTTGGGAGCTCGATTCACCCGGTGGCCGAGGAGCAGGTGGACGGGGTCCGGCGTTGCCATGGACGAGTTCATCCTACTTGACGGCATTCACGGATTGGGCTCTGCTGTCTGGGCTATCTGGGCGAAAGAGATGGCTCGGGGCTCCAAGAAGAGACCTCGGCTGGGCGATGGCGGGGCTCTGCCAGCTGCTGCCGCTGCGCCTGCCGCCGCCGATGGCGGCGAGGGCGGCGCCGCAGAGGCTGCGGCTGCCAGCGGCGGCGATGGGCAGGGCCATGGAGATTTCAATGCAAAGCGGCTGGAGAATGAGTACCATCGTAGCACCGCTGGAGATTGGATGGACACGTCGCCGCTTGACAGAGTGGTGATCATTCGGCAGGTGCTGGAGCCTTTACGTCGGACGATGGATTGGCACCTCGAGGTCGGCGGCAAGCACTGGGAGATCAAGCAGAGGGGCATGGTTGTCCAGGCTGAGTCCACGGGCGCAGCCAGTTCGACGAGCAGGACGTGGCCGATCGTGGAGGCTGCGCTTGGCACCCCTGCGCGCGTCTTCAAGGCTGCGTGGGACCCTCTGTTTCGCGAGCACGTGCTGTGGAAGGACCTCGTGCAGCCGTCGGCGATGACTCGGAAGGCGCGCGCCCTCGCGTTCAAGCTTCTTTCGAGGTCTGAGTGCCAGGTTCGGGAGGCGTTCACCCATCGACATAGCTTGCTTCCGACTCGCATCTTCGCCATGATCGTGGACCCAGCCGTTGCGCAGGAAGTGAGTGACCTCCAGGATTGCCGCATGGACAGCTGGACGAAGGACTTCGTGCTGCGACACAAGGACGCGGACGGAGGCTTGTCGAACCCAGCTGCGATCGCAGAGTTGAACCTGCTTGCCGCCATGATCGACTTGGACATCAAGGCTATCGAGTCCCGCCACGCCTCGATCCGCAGGCGGCTGATGGTCAGGGGAGTGCAGACCCACTCGGCAACGTTCGCGGAGTCGTCGGCCGAATGGGTGGTTGCCCAAGCTCGTTTATCAGGCAGGGCATTTCGAGCAGTCGGTGAGGGGGGCGCGCCAGCAGGTGGTGGCGATGACGCAGGGGGCCCTGGCGGGCCGCCAGGCGAGGAGGCTACCACCACTGTCAGGGGCACGGTGTCTTCTTGGCATGCTTTCCTGAGGGAGCAATCCCTTGGTCAGACTGGCCGCCAGTGCATCGCCGCCTTGAGCGCTGCGTACCGCGCTTTACCCAGAGCAGAGGTGGCGAGGCTGGCTGCCGTCGCAGCCGCGGCCAATGGGAACCCCCGTGCTGCGGATGCACCTGGCAGCGCCTTCGGCCTTCGGTCCCGCGACCTTGCTCGCGCCCAGGCCAAGAGGCGGCTTGGGGCGTCTGAGCAGCAGCTCGTCGCGGAGGCTGTCGTGCCGACCAGCCGCGGGGGGATGACTGACTTGGCAATGCGGCGAGCATCGGCAGACCCCAGCGCCACCGTGAACATGGACTCGATGATGCGGGCTGCCCAGTCGCACATGGTGAGCTTGCGCCGCGTGACCAAGACCGAGGAGCGAAAGATGGCCGACGCGATGGAGGCTTGGGAGTCGACTACGGGCGCTGCCCAGTGGGCATCCATGTGCAACAGTTTCAAGGGCGTGGCTGCTTTCCAGGTTATGCGTTCTCCTATGCCCTCGCACATCGGCCAGATGCTGGAGTTCAAGCACCCTACTACTCGACAGCTTCGATCGCTCGCTCGCTGTGGATGTCAGGGCACGGCAGCAACATGAAAGCTTGTCTCGCATCAGACTGGATGGAGAGGCGCAGGGCAATCATACACGACGACTGTGCCCCCGTAGACGTGCCCGTCCAGAAGAAGAAGTACACCTGTGCTCAGATCGGCATGTGCATATGTTGCCCTGAGGCCGATGTCATCAAGAAGTTCCGCAGGCGCTTCTACTCCGAGCTGAAGGGCCTCTGCACCGAGGGGTCGCCCGAGCGGAAGCTCCTGGACGATTCCAGCTTGGTCGTGCGACTGCACGGCATCAAGGCGGCTGTCGTCGATGGCTGGGGCGTTGTGGCAGCTGGCCTCTCTGGCGACGACCCCGACGGCGTGGACGCCTACGTGTGGTGGCACATCGGCTCCCACGAGTTCAGCCCCTACTGCTCCAACTTCAGGCCGCTCGCCTTCGTCGAGCAGGAGGCAGTCGGCGGCCAGGTGGAGGTATTGTTGGAGGAGTCGTTAGCGGAACGGAGACACATTCATCCCACCACGAACGCGCGCGTGCACGCACGCTCGCGCATGCGTTTACGCGCGTGCGCCGCGCGCGCGTAAACGCATGCGCGCTGGCACGCACGCGCGCGCACGCACGCGTGCGCATATTCGTAGGCGCGCGCAAATACGGGCAGATACGCACGCACGCACACGCATGCAGGCACGCAGGCACGGGCACAGGGGACGAGGGAGAAGAGGAGGGTGTGACGAGACAGACCAGGACGACATTGGCGAGGGGAACGCAATGGGGGCTCGTCGGAAAAGGGTCATAGGGATCGATGGGGGGAGGATGATGGGGGATGGGGCGAGAGTGATTCCGTCATTGCTATAGTTACTCCCCCACGAAGGGTGCCACAGAGTCTTTGGTTGATTGGGAGGCGTTCAGTAGCTTGGACCTCACGGCCGATTGGTCGATCAGCTTTTGGGTCATCGACGAGAGTGATCGTGCCGTCGCCCGTTTTCGCCCTGCCGACGTCGTCGTGGTCTCCATGGGCCCCGAGTCCGAGCTGTGGCAGTCAGGGAAGGCTACGAGGCGGGCCACAGCTGCGCGGCCCGCCGCCACGGACGACGGCGACGACGGCGACCACGGGAGCATCGCGTCGGACCAGGAGGAGGACCGGGATGACCCCCTCCCCCTGGACGACGGGCCCGTGGGCGGCGACGACCACGGCGGCGCGGACGACGTCCGCGCTAGTGGCGAGGACAGCATACTTGAATGTAAGTTCCCGCAAGCATCGCCTAATCCTAAGGTGGGGAGGCCTCTACATTTAACACATTAGCTAGTTAGGTTAACGGTGTGGAAAGTGTAAAACAGCAACGCTTCAAACAAAAGCACAACAATCAAGCAACACGTAAAACAAAACAACGGCTCTAACACATCACAAACAAGCCCCGATAGGTTCCGACACGCCACCGAAACGGCCCTACACGTCCCCAAGAGCGGGAGGTGACGAGGAGGTTTGACGACAGGGGGTTAGGGAGGGGGCGGTGGAAGGCAGGCAGGATGTGAAGCAATCCCTGGTAAGATGAACAGATGCACATTACGGAGGAGGAAGATGATGTGAAGAGGCGGAAGCAACACGAGGAACATATGTATGCCTCTTGGGGGTCATCTTGGAGCCGTGTCGGGCCGTCTCGGCAGGCCTCCTCTGTGGGTCTGGGGTGGAGTGGGAGGGCTGGGGTTGCATCGCCCTCCTGCCCCTCGATCCGCACGGGACGAGGTCGGCATGGACATCGACGAGTTGCTCAGCGAGGGCGAGGGCGACGACGGCGGCGGCGAGGTTCCGCTGCCGCCCGAGGCCCCTATGCCACCGCCTGTTTTTCCGTTGCCTCCGCCCCCGCCTCCTGTCTCTCGGGCCTCCCGCTCAGAGGTGGGGTCGCGGGCGAGCCGCGAGCCTGTGCAGCATGCTGTCAATGTCCAAGGAAAAGGTACGATTGTGTATTACAGGAAAGGCAGGTGTTTCGAGGCCAGGTGCCATCGTGGCCATGGCCGCTGCACAATGAGCGCAGCAACGCACGGCAGCGATCTTGAGAATTTGGCGGCGCAGGGCCGCCCACTTGGCTTGTTAGTATCGTGGCTTCTGGCCCTTGGGGAGGTCTGTGACGACAAGCCGTCGCGCAAAAACAAATTCGCACTCCTGACGCTGCGTCCGTACATGAGGCGGCGTGCTCGGGAGCTCCTTCGTGGCCTGCCAGGTGGTTTGGATCTCATGTCGAAGGAGCGCCCGCAGCGCCCTGGAGAGCCCGAGGAGCCAGAGGGATTGGCGTCCTCCCGATGAGCGATGAGAAAACGATTAAGGGGTGTGGGGGGGGGGGGGAGATGGAGGAGCAGGATGCCAGGGAACGGTGATGAGGGGGAAGAGCAGGGACAACCGAACTGAGGAGGGGGTGAGGCCCCCGCTTCCCTTATAGGTTGCCGTGCAAGAGGGGCGGCTGGGGCGACGATGGGCGAGGGGGGCAGGGGTCGACGTTGAGGCGGGGGCTCTCGTCTTAGCGCCGCGCACGCTCATCTTAAACATCCGCAGCAGACGCGGATGGAAGGCGGGCGGTTTTCAAATTGCGGCTCTCGCCTGAGCTCGTCTACAACTTGCATCAGCTACACTGATGGAGGGCGAGTGGTGTTCAAATTACGATCTCGCCTTAATCTTGGCGCCGCGCAAACTCATTGTCAAAGCTTGCAGCACTTGCACTTCCCCCATCGCTGAACGGATCTGTCCGAGGTTTGGCGTGGCGACGTGCCCCGTGCCTGACAGCCTGGGCTTGGCAAGTGGATGGGCAACGGTTCGAGGTGATTTGTCACCCCCATCTCCCCGTCTGGCGCCCTCTCTTGGCTTTCGCCGCCGCCCCTCTCCTCAGCTTCGTCATGTCTGGCCCGCGAGCTCATGCATCTCAGACTCCGTCCTGCGGTAAGTGCAGTCATCATTGCCGTGCTGGCGCATCTTGGAGCGCCCTTTGGGGCGATGAGGGCCCCCCTGTGCACTGTGGCGGCGGCTGCGGCGACGGCGGCGACGACAGCGAGTGTGATAAGGGTGACAGCGGCGACGACGGCGACGACGACGGCCCTTCGGCCAGTCGGTGTGGCTGGGGCGCCATGGGGTGCTCCTGGAGGTCTCCCCATGGGGGGGGGGCCTTCTGTGCCCTCAGACTTTTTCGAGACTCCCCTGGGAGACTCTTTTGGCACCGAGACTCTTCTTGAGACTCCTCCTGGGACTCCGCTGGACTGCGAGACTCTTTGTTGGTGCCCTCTCGGGGGCAGCTGTTCGAAGGATTCGGATGGAGACTGTTTCGAGACTTTTTCGAGACTCTGTCTGAGATTATTTCCTGTGTTTTTTTTTGCGCGTCCTGGGGGCCTGGCACGGGGGGGAGGGCGGCGGTCGCAAGGGGACTGTTTTGATATTTTTTGGAGACTGTTTTGGGACTTTTTGGTGCCGTTTTTGGCCAGGAGACTGTTTTGAGACTGTTTTGAGACTGTTTTGAGACTGACTATTTTGGGACTGTTTGGGGGTTTGGGGAGCCGTTCAAAAAGTACAGAAAAAGTATCGAAACAGTTTCGAAAAAGTCTCGAAACAGTCTCCCGCGCCGACCCCCCCCCAAAAAATATACAAAAAGTATCAAAACAGTCTCGAAATAGTGTTTTGGGAGAGTCTCAGAAGCGATTTGGGCACCCGCCGCCCTATTCCCAAGAGTCTCAAAACAGTCTCACAACAGTTTCAAACAAGTAGCTAAACAGCGCACTGCGAAACACACACATGAAAACACAGCTCCCCGAAAAGTCTCGAAACAGTCTCAGGGGGGGACTCTTCAGACCTTCAGCTGCCCAAACAGTGCCAGGGGGGGGACTCTGAGGACCCCCGCGTGCCCAAAGAGTGTCCAAAGAGTGTCCCGAGAGGGCGCCGAGAGGGGCCGCGAAGAGGGTCAGTTCCCGCGACGTTGGGCCCTCGTGGGGAGCCCTTGGGGCCCTCTTGGGCCCCATTGGAGCCGCATCGTGCCCATGTTGGGTCCCTCTTAGGCCCCTGGGAGGGCTCTGAGAGGGTTCAGAAAGGGCACCCATATGCCCCAGAGGGTGCTCCAGACGCGGAGGGCCAAGCAATAACATATGTGTTTGGGTTTCTGGCATCAACGCCATCCTGGGCCCCTCGCGGGGCCCTCTCGGAGCCCCAAGAAGCGTGCCGAGAGGACCCAGGATTGGGCAATGCCGAAACACACACATGTTTCGGATGGGTTCAAATTACGCCCTAGGGGGGTCGCAAAGAAGGCGCCGAAAAGGCCCTGGACCGACCGTCTGGGCACCGCTACGTCCGTTTCATGTTTACATTATAATCATTAGAGCAAGGGGTCCTGCAGACAAGCATCTGGCTGCTCGAAATCGGGGCCCTTCTCGGGGCAAGCTCGTAGTCGGCCTGGGCTTTAAGTTTGAAAATGGGGCCCGCGCTATAAATCTATCCTGGGCGCAACCAAAGGCCCCACATAGGTTTCGTCGTTGACCTTTTGGGGCCCATGGCTTCGGCCGTTGCGAGTTGAACGGGACCTGGGCCTTAGGGGGCCCTGGGCCGCCATGGGGCCCAGCTGTTGAAGGCCCTGGGCCGCCCTGGGGCCCGAGTGGCCCCCGTTCGACCGTCGGCGTCGCGTCGCCCTCTTGGCTCAAATTTCGCAGAGCCTTTGAGCACGCGTGCTCCGACCGCCAGTGCCCGACCAGCACCGCGGCCGCCCGACGCCCAGCCGCTCGCATCGGAGATGGCCAAGCGCAGCTCCAACGGTGAGATGCCCGCTGCTGGTCGCCAACGCCGCCTCGGTGCGAAGTCCACGACGTGTGGTCTCTGCGGCGAGGCGCCGAGGGTCCAGCTGAAAACCGAACCAATAACAACAACAACACAACAGCAGCAACACCACTAGCAATAGCAATAGCAGCAGCAACAACAACAACAGTCGAAACAATAGCAACAACAACATCAACAACAATCACAACAACACAGCAACAACCCCCCGCTCCTGCTTTCTGCTCCCTGCTCCTTCCCCTCCTCCCTCCGCCCTTCCCTCCTCCCCTCTCCCTGCCCCCTGCCCCCTCGCCCCCTTGCGCCCACCCCCGCCCCCCCCCGTCGCTCGCAGAGTGGCGGAGGAAGGGGGGGCGGAGCGCGTGCGGGGCGCGGAGGGGGGGGGGTCGAGGATCCGAGAAGCAAGTTTTTGTTTAACAGCAATTGTTTGCCGCCGCGAGGCGTGCGACGACCTGGTCAAGCGCGCCCACGAGGACGAGGCCGTCTTCGCGTGCCGCAGTTGCGACGACGTCTACGTCCACAGCCTGAGCTTCATGACGATCACCGACGTCGTCGCGAGCATGAGCGACGAAGTATTCAAGAAGGATTTCATCGAGGGGAAGATGCAGAGAAAGAAGCAGGGTAAGAGGCCGTTTTCCCCCGAGGAGGTGGGCAAGCGCGAGGTCTTCTCCA